TTAGAACCTGCAGCTCTTTGTGGGGTTTCTTCTCGAAATCAACCAGGAATTTTTGTTTGGGAAGGTCAGGAAGCTCAGGGATTGGACGCAGGGCGGGGAAAGCAACTTTATATACTTAATATTATTTTAGAGTGTGGAAATATGATTTTAAAAGAAAAATCTTATTCGAGCAATGTACATCCAATTTCAAATGCTCCTTGAAACTAACTGGAGAGACGTGTGTGTGTGTGTGTGTGTGTGTATGTGTGTGATGGAAAAGATGAGCGAGTGCCTGAGCCACTGACCTGCCCGTTGTTGTTGGAAGCTCCTTTGTTGTTAGTAAGTTTTAATTTTCCAAAAGAGATTTCTTGGCGCATCCAGTGAGCCCCCGTGTTGGGGGAATCCGGATGCATATAGACTCGGTTTCCTAGAGAAAGAAATACGTTGTTTACATATGACCCCGAAACTGCCCAGTCCCAACTCCTTACCACCTGGAACACACACAAATACACACGCGTGTACACAGACACAGACGCGCGCGCGCGCACACACACACGCGCACACACAAGGTAAGGCCCATTAGTTGGGGCTTTTTGAGGCTGCTTTCTTCCTATTAACTGGGGATGATTAAAATAGCTTTTGCATAATCCTCCCCCTTCTCCCGGCTCAGTCTGTCCCCCTTTCCCTCGCTTCCTCGTAGAAGTCAGCGGCCGATCGTTTTAAAAGTCGCCCGAGCCAGTCCACAAAAGCTTTAATTAATCATTCTCACCTAAATAAGTGTCAGGAAAACGTGTTAATTGGAAGGACTTGCCTTGCACATTGGTGTCCGCTTTGCCGCAAGGAACCCATTTGCCTCCTTGAAATCTCCAGTGATTGGGATCCGCCAAAATCACATCCACAAAAATATTGTAATGAGCCGTGGGATCGAGACCAGATATGTTAAAACTTAAAAAAGGAAACATGCGCCTATTTAAATTAAGGGGGGGGAGAGGAAGGAAGGAAACGAGGAGAACAGAAATATAAATGTTAAAGATTAAATGCAAGAAGCGCGGCGCCAGAAAGCAAAGCAAAAACTTGTTCTCACAACGTAGGAAAGCGAATGTTTGCTGGCTTCGAAAAGGGGTTGTTGAGCAGAACCAAAGTGGGGCCGCAGTCGGGGGGGTGGGGGGAGAGAAGGGTGGCCCGGTGGCCCTGCCCAGGGGGAGAACCCGGTCGGGGCGGCGGGGCGGCTAGGCAGCCCTCCCCTCGCCGGGCCGCGGGCGGCGCGGGGTCCCGGGCCCGGGCTCCCCGGCTCGCCTTCCCGCGGGCCCCGGCGGGGCTCCCCGGCCGCCGACCGCTCTCCTAGAGCGGGCTCGGTGAGTTCACACTGCGAAATCCACCCCCATCCCTGCGGCGGCCACCATCCATCCTTCCACTGCCCCCTTCTCCAGCACTAGCCTTCTCGGGCTTTGCCCCACAGCGCCTTCCGCTCCGCTGCCGAACCCCAAGCCGCCGCGGCGGTCACCCCCCGAGCGCGCTCGCCCCGGGGCCGCGCCGGAGTGCAGCATTACCTTCCCTGTTTGGTGATGATCATCTCCGTTTGGTGCCGGTGGAATTTCAGCCAAAGGGGCCTGTTGCACAGGTACACCTGCGCTTTGCCGGGCACCAGCCCGGGCTGCGCCGAGGAGAACTGGTAGAACGGGGCGCCTTGGTAGGAGTGACCGTACTGCTGTGGGTAGGGGTAGCCGGCCGCAGGGTAGCCCTGCGGTGACGAGTTGGACAGGAGACTGTTGTAGGCTCCGTTGGTGATGACCGGGTGGTGGGCCATGTAGCGGCTGGGGCTGCCGATGGAGAAGGCGGGGTGCGCCGGTCCGTGCTGGCCGGGGTACGGGAACATGGCACTGGGAGCAGTGGCCGCAGACTGGGGCTGGCTGGACTGAGAGAGGAGGTAGCGATCTGCTGCAGAGCCATCGAAACTGTGACGAAGCTCAGAGACCCCGTCCAAGACAGGAGAGAGTTTACTTCTCTGGACGTCCCCTGGTGAGTCCTTGGAGTCAGGAAAATTGTCTGTATCTGACTGATTCGTCATCCCCCGGGCAATTTTTTTCAAAGGTGAACTTCTCTCCAGGTTGTCAGTAGTCGAGATAATGGGATGGTCGTGCAAGACAAGCTCGGATCCGCCTGAATGTGGGTAGCTGCTGCTCACATTGAGAAATTTCTTGGAGAGCATGATAGAAGGAGACAGGCAGTGCTCCAGCTGCATAGTTCTAGAACCTGCACACTCGCCCTCCCGTCCCTGGGCTGTACAGTCCTGTTTATCATAAACTAGAAATCCACAGACCCCCTCACCACACCGAAAGCACTTCAACCAGCAAATGCTTCTCCAAGGTTTGATTTACTTTTTTTTTTTCTCTCTGGGAGAAGAGATTGGCCAATTGACACTATGCAGCAATCAGAAAAGGCTCACTTTTGATCTTGCTGCTTGTGCAGCCGATGAAACGGCTCCTGCCATTGGTTAACTGCTGACAGTAATTTAATTAGATAGACATTAATTAGGATAATCACCTGGCTCCTGGTCGCGAAGATCCTGGCAAATTGAAGGGGATGATTTTATTGTTGGCTTGGGGGGGGCGCGGGGGGGGCTATGTGTTGGTTTTACGTGAGCCCTGCGGCGTCACCTTTAAGCTTTATGACCACTGCTTTAGGAAGATTCAAAAGACGTGCAATTTACTAAACATTTTCCTACCTTCCCCCCAACCTGCCCCCACCCCACCTCCCTCCCTTTCGAACCGAGGGGCGGAGGAAAGGATTCGACGCCGCTAGGAGACTTTTCGGATCTGAATGAGCCAAATATTCAGTTGAATGTAACGATTTCAAGTGCAAAGTATACAAAGCGCGAGCCGGTGGCCTCTTCTTGCCCTGTAAAAGTTCCAGAGCCTGCCTTTTCCAGTTAACACAAAAGCACACAACACCTGAGCCGGTCCTTTGTGAGCAGGTCCTGCGTGTCCTCGCCACCCCCCCACCCCCCTTTTAACCACATACATAAATAAATAAATAAGCCACCGCCGCTGAGAGCCACCACGAGGGAAGTGAGCGGGAGGGGGCGATGGGGGCGACAAGCAGCAACTCACCCACCCATCCATCCACCTTGAGAAGGTTGAGCTCAGAAACAATGACAACCTATGATCTCCTTGTTAAGTTTCTAAATAATCATAAGCTGCCGAGCTGGGGTGCCTTAGTGTATTTGCAGGGATGTTGACGGGGTCTTTACTAAACGGTTTATCGGTGAGCTCCGTTGCAGGGTCTGAAGAGCATCTAACTGGGGGCAGGCGCCATTGGTGCCCTCTCGAGGGACCGCCTTGGCCACCGATTCAAAAGCCTCGCCAGGAAAAAAGAGGGCCGAGTCCCCGTGCAAATGGGGTCGCCAGAAACGCTGATCTGGAGACCCGGGGTGGAAGTGGTGTCGACACAAGGATCGTGACTGAAGACTGGGTGTGTGTGCGTGTGTACGTGTGTGTGTAATGTTTATATAATCTGAAGGGGAGAGAAAGAATCCATGCCAGTAATTTTTAAAGAAGGACGGATTCAAGGGAAAATGAAGAACAGGACCGGTTCAAAAAGAGGTTGGCACAAATAACGAGCACGAGGTCCAAATCATCTTGTAGGGGCAGGAGATGAGACAGGTCCCAGGTGAGCCCAGCTCCCAGCCTGGACCGGAGGCTCGCGCGGCCCAGCACCCGGCAGCCTGCCCTCCCGTGGCTCGCTCTCCGGTGCCCAGAGCCGCGCGGCGCAGGCTGGCGAAGGAAGAGCGCCGCCCCGAGCCTGCTCGGCCCCCGGGCCTCGGGTCAGGTCTGGCGGGGCGCTGCCCGGCCGGAGAGGCCACCACCCACTCCGCTCCGCCCCTCCGCGTTCCGCGCCAGGTGCCGGGACCCCCGGCGCACCCGTGCGCGCAGGCTACGGACTCGTTGTCTAGTGTCTGCGAGTGGCCAGCGAGTGGTTTCCCCAGCAAGCACCCTGACAAGCTGCCGAGGAAGCCGCCACCCGGGAGACCGAGGAAGCGCCTTGCCCGGGTGGAGCCTCCCTGTCTTCCCGCCAACACATCGGTCCTCCCGGAACCCGGGCAGCATCCTCAGTGGGGTTGGCGCAGGGGGCGCTGGGTCCTGGGCACTGTCGGAGAGGAATGAACCAGACTCGATCTGGCGTCCTGCAGCTCTGCGCCGGAGTGCATTTTCAGAGGCGCGCCTCGGTGGGTCAGCGCTCAGTCCAGATTGCGCCCCCCGAGGCGGGCTCGGCGCCTTGGCTGCAGAGGGCACCAGCTGCGGCCTCCAGCAGGGTGCCGCGAGCAGGGCGCGGTGCGGGAGGCGCTGCTGCATTGGACAGGTTGATGACCAGATGTCCCAGACTCAAGGCTGGTAGAATCTCTGGTAGAAAAATAAAGCCAGACCCGTTTTCCCGTTCGAAAGCAAACCTCAGTTCCAGGCCAGAAAGCTTTATAAACAAGCAGAGCCTTCAGAGGTTGCGCTGAGGGGCAGGGGAAAGTAACCACGATACTATTTGGTTCATTTTTCTGCCTGTATCTTCCCGTGCCAAGTCACCTCCGAGCGACTTTAGCTCTATTTTTGGTCACTGCCCTGCTCCCTCTCTCTCTTAGGTCATTAGTTCTTCTGTTCCATAGTACCTCTCCTTTCCCTGCTTCGGGAAGGTTCACTTCTGCTCTCTCAAAGGGACTGAACACTAAGTGTGTACCAGAAGCGTGAGCCTCTACCTCGGCCTTGCCATTTCCGCAACTCTGAGTTTAAAACAAAAAAAAAGGGTACTACAATGAAATGGAAAGGTGCTCAGGGTAGGAAAGGGGTAGAGTGCACCTCCATCCAGAGTTTTAAAGGCAATTACGTAAATTAGGAGATACATGTGTACTCCGCTCACTTCGGGTAACCAATACTGAAGTCTGTGGCCCCTGGCATATAGGCTAAACCTTGAACTTAAATTGAACAGTTAGTTTACCCGCCTGCCTGGCTCTTACTTCTACGGAGAAGCGCACACAGAACACTCCAATCTTATTAAATTTCAGACGATGTTGGTCTGGGTGGGTCTTGAATCTGTATACACTAGGCGCTCCCAGAAGGCAGATGCTGCTGGGCCAGGCAGATCACACTTTGAATAGTGATGGCTGAGCTTTCACTGGCTCGTGCTAGTTTAAGAGCAAAGTAGGCTCCTTGCTGCACAGCCCTCTAAGTAGGAGTTTTGGCTCTAGTGCTGCATTAACTCTGCTGCTAGATGAATAAACAGATGTGCTGCCACCTTGCAAGGTTTAAGGACTTATGATTAATCCCTTCACTAACTGGCCCGAGGTGGGCCTGGGGCATCAGGCTGCTTGCTGCTCAAGTAACCATGTATTTCAAAGGACAAAGGCATTTATTCACTGGACTCTCTGAGCACCCTTGACTTCAAATTTACAATCAGATTTTGGCTTGGAAGAATTTTGACAAGACTCTGAAATTAGGAATGTCTCCATTAGCAAGTGAGAGAAGCAGGGAATCCAGGGAAGAAGAGGAAACCAATTAAGGGCAAAGGGCATGGGCTGGTCTACCTGCAACTTTCTCTGTCGCTGTATTCCTTCATGAATACTCTCAGGGGACTAATTGAGGGGCGGGGGGGAGGGAGAAGTACTTTTAATCTGTTGAGAATGGCCTTGGGGTTATTAAAGCTAAGACACTGCATGAAAAAATACTGAGTAGCTCTAATCAACAGTATCTGTGGAGTAAATGATAGAGCCCTAATTTATAAAGGGAAAATCATTAACCTGCACATCAGTTTTGATTCAGCAAAAAATGAGTACTACCAGCTTCTTAAAATTTTAACGGTAAGTGGTTAGCTGTTGTAACTGACAATTTGAATTTATATGTTCTAACTAAAGCATACTAATGTATCACTAGGTTTTAAAGAAGAAACTACAAGTAAAGAAATGCTCAGCTAACCTTTTCCCACTTAACTAAAAAGGCAGGGCTAAATCCACTGGCAACTTAATTCATCTTCACTGTTTCTGTAAGAGCCCAACTGTTAGAGGCGGGCACTGATGCGATTGATCCCATCATCCATACAGTCAAGTCTAATTTCTAAGTACGAAGTTAAAAAAAGCAAAAAACAAACCTTTCCTTAATGAAGCCTTAGAAATATGTTCACTATGTTCCCAGAAGGAATGAGGAATTAAATGTTTAGTTGGGCCCGTATTTTTGGTCACTCTCTTTGATGTCCCCAACTTGGTGGTGTACTATGACCATTATTGGGTATATTTCCTTAGAAGCAGGTTGAGGAATAAGGTCTGTGAAAAGTGACATTAGCTAATTTTTGTTCCTATGCCATTACTGGCTACTTCCTAAATTTACTTGGGAAAGAAAATGAGAAAACAGTAGCAAAAGTATTGTTTATGTGTTCATGCTATCGGACTTACATACTTTTTTCATCTGCACCGAGGACACATTCTCTACCTCTTTCTGCTGAGTGAGCTGAAAGTCTAGTGAAGTTTACAGCAGCCACCTCCTAATCTCACAACTGTAAGCTGAAGCTATTTCCTTTAAATACTAAATTACTCAAGTTTGAGACCCTCCCCACTTCTATCTTACATAGAGGGGCTTTGAAAATTTTGTGAAAAAAATTATATCATCTTTTGATTCCTTCCACTTTTCTGTGAAGTTTCTGAAGCCCCCTCGTGTATTCCCTCTCCGAGATCCTGAACGATATGTAATTACTGAGCATAACTTCCGGAATATGCTTTTAATAAAAATCCATGTCATGTCAACGTTTGCTAGGTTCCTCACTAATGAGGAAGCCGCTCATTAATGGCAACCATTTAAAATTTGTGAAGCCTTATCACCTTGATATTTCAAGTCTGATATGATCTACAATGCAAGGGGAAACATCTCTGTGTGAGATGTCGATTGCACTGTCAAATGCTATTCTGTCCATTTCACCCAGTGCCAAAAAGACCTCAGGAGACACAGATTGTAAATGTATTTTATTGTGTAAGCAACAATCAAAATATATTTGTTACTGATTTATTCCAATATTAAATGGGAACTTAACAAAATTTGTCCATTTTGATGTGTTCTTGTACAACTTTGGAATCTGCAAAGACCCTGACTAAAGAAACAGAAGTAATTGCACAACTGAGACTGAAGGTGTTACAGTGCTGCAAATGATGCCAGATGTCTTACATTTAACCAAATACACCTTCAGAGGTCCCTTGATTTTGAGCAGTCGGAACAATAGAGGAACAGACACTGCGGGTATCACGGTTCGCTTTTTACACTGCTTTATTTAAATACCACAGTATCCAACATAGCCGCTAAACACTGGACAATATTTGAAGTCATGAGTACATCCACATGTTCTTCCAAATGACGTTTGGGATCCTAAAAAAATACAAAACGAGGAG